ATATATATATATATATATATGCATTATTGAATTTTCTCTTTTAGGACATAAATTTACAAACAATCAACTTAACATTATAAAGATGTGCTTATACACACTCACATTCACTCACGCACTCACCATTCAAACCTGCATTTGTTTAGTTCCAAAAATATACAAGACCCTTTAACTTAGAACAGAGAAAAATAACAAGACAGTATATAAATAGAAACTGTAGACAAGACATCCATTCAAGACACTCATTATTAAGCTCCGCCTTCAGTCCCTATGATCCTCATCTATGGCTCCCACAGGTTCTCAAAGTCCCGCTGTTTGCCCTTGGTGATGTATGTTAGTTTTTCCAGTCTGAGCGAATTTGCAATTTCTTTCTTCCAGAGTTCCATGGAGGGGTGCCGTCCATGCTCCTCCAGCATAATGCAATAGATCTTCTGGCTTGAAGAAGTCCATAGTCTATCAATTTAGTTTTAATCTGTGATTGTTTAAATTCTACTGAGTATATTCCTAGAACACAGATTTTAACCTCTACTGGGATTTTCACCTTAAACAATTCAGATAGACACCTAATAACATCCTTCCAAAATTTCTGAATTTTAAGACATTCCCACAGACAATGGAGAAGCGTTCCTTTTTCAAATAAGCATTTAGTGCAAGTATCTGGAATATCACTAGACATATGATGAAGCCTAACTGGTGTTATATAGGTTCTCATAAGCCATTTATATTGCAGAAGTTTAAATTGTGTGTTTATCGTTTGATTTTTGTGCTTTTAAACAGACCTGATTCCAGTCTTCCTCATCTATATCTTCGAGAGTGCTAGCAAACATTTTAAAAAAACAACAAAAAGAAAGGGAATAATTCTGCCCTGCCAGTGAAATGCGCACTGCAGAAGAGAGATGCTTGCAGTCTGGGTTATTTAATAAAATCAAACAACGCTTGGCGGGGGGACACGTAAAGCATGGCGCCCGCCAGGCCTATAATATTCACCGGGGGAAACCCTGGACTAAAATAAATGGTCAGAGGAGTATGTGCAAGTGATTACTGAAGTACACTAAAATTAGATAAATTATTCAGTAAATCAGAACTGAGCACGAAATTATATTCACTACATCTCTGGAGACTTGTATAATGCAGGATAAAGAGGGATGAAGAATTTATACCTTTAGATAATTTGTGTTCATCTTTGGAGTAATTTTCTCTCTCAGGATGATGATGGTTGGATACAGACGCCCCCTGGAAGAGAAAGATCTTTGGTCTTTAAATGCTGATGACTGCTCCCACAGAGTGGTACCACAGCTGGTGCATCGCTGGAATTCAGAGAGCCAAAAAGTCAAGAGGTCAGCAAGATAAACAGTGAGGTTCAACTTTGTTAAGCAGGACTAACTTGGTAATCTCTGTTTCTCTCCAACCATTTTTTATGAATTCAGCACCTTCTACATGATGTATTCAATGTCTTTCAGTAAATCTAAGACATATAATTTTTCTTAATTAATTAATTCACATTCCAGCAGGACAAGCATACAGTGGAATTGTTTACATCAAAGCAGATTAATGTGTTATAATGGTCCACCCAGGTTCAAAAAAAGATTTGGGGCAAAATCAGTTTGGAGATGTTTAAAGCTAGTACAGACAGACAGCTGCAGCTGAAAGATGATCTTGCAAATTACTGACTTTGTAGTTGAATACAACACTCTTCCAATTTTTATCTTTAATAATATTTTGAAAACCATATATCATTTTCCTTCCACAATTAACAATTATGCACTATTTGGAATTGTTCTGTCTTTTAAAATCCTAATAATTGACATTGACATTTTTGGTTGTGATACAAATATAACTAAAATTTAAGCAGTGTGAATATTTTTGCAAGGTAGTGTGTGATAAAATATCCATCCATTCTGTCTTAAGCAGAACCGAGCAACAAATGGTATACTCCCCTAAACGGGCTCCGCATGGTGAGAACAGAGAGGGCCAACCTGTGGAAGAGTCAGAAATCCTGCTCCTAAAGTCTCCCAGGAAAATAAAAGAGCCTTCGTTGCTTTGGGCATTGTGCTTGACCTTCGGACCCTACTTCCTCATCTCCTGCCTCTACAAAATAATCCAGGACATTCTCATGTTTGTTGGTCCCGAGATCCTTAGGTGAGTAGATTAAATATCAAGTTTTTGACTTGATATTTAGAGTTTTATACAATGAAATTATATTTGTATAATTGCTTGGTTAATGGCTTGCATGATAGTTTTTCTAATCACACTTAAAGTATTAGTTGGATGGGCTAGTGTTTCTATATCAAGCTTATAGATGGAATTATAAAATTTTATCTTTTGAGCTGGTTGGACAAGGCGATTCTAAAACCTTCCATTAGTTTGTAAAGTATTTCAGAACAGTGGCTCCAAGCAGTGGCTGACAGAAATAAAGATGTCAGAACAGTTTCCACTGACATAACTGACTAAATTAGAATTGCAAAAAATAATACATCAATACATAATACACTTTTTGTTGCCCCACACAAGCCACTACAGTTAGTATGCTGCAGCAAAGTGCTTGTTTGGAGGCACTGCCCTTTGTGGACAATACACAGCTGGCTCCACTAGAGGTCTTAATCAGAAGTTGAGTTTGTCATTTGAAAGTGTTGTATCCATATGCCTTATGTAAAATCACCGACTACAATTTCCAAAATGTGCCGCATATGTAG